GCTCTTCCCCACCTACACACGCTCAGACATCCCCTTCAGGGGGGCCTGCTCCAAAGGAATCCCACTCCACCCAAAACTCTGTCTCACAGGAGATCTCAATCTGGCCTAACATCAGGATCACCTGCAGAACTTGAGAGTAAATGCCAACACCTGGGCCCACGTCCAGACCAATCAAAGATGACTCTCTGGGGGGCTGTCACTTTATAGGGCCAAGGTCTGTGGACCACACTTCAACCGTAGTCCACCCTACAAGTTGTGGATTACCGTTAAGCCTCAGTGAGGCTAGTAATAACATCATCTACTGGTTTTTATAGAATGCCTACTATGTGCTAGATGTGTTACGTAATATTAAGCACTTCCTTATTGAAAGGTCTAGTTTAATTCTGGTAAGAGCTCTATGAGGTAGGCTTGTAGAAGTTAAAAGGCTTATTATACAAGATCAAGGTCAGGCAACCAGGAAGAGGTGAAGCTGGAACATGAAACCAGGTCTTCCTGGCTCCAAAGCCCCAGCTCTCAGCCTACAGGGTAGGATGGCGAGAAGCAGGTGCCGTCTGGGAAGTAATGAAGCTGGGGCCCAAACTCCTGAGTTCAGCATTCGTCTCCTCCTCACTGTGGAGTGACCAAAGGCAAGGGCTCCCTCGGCCTTTCTCTGGGTCACACAGCAGGCTTGTCCCAGGGAGGGCCTCCATCTCCCTGACCTCATCCCAAAGGAAGCTGGGAACCCACAGGGGTCTCTTCGTCATGGCAGCCACAGAAAGCCTCCCTAACCACACGCTTCTCTCTCTTCTCCTCAGGGAAAAGACTGCACTATGCCCATCAACACCTGCCTCCAGAACCCCTGTCTGCATGGAGGCACCTGCCACCTGAGCGAGAGCCACAGCGATGGGTTCAGGTAACAGCTCACCCTTGGGCCCTCCCTCCTCTCAGTCTTCATGGTCAGGCTCTTGGGGCAGGCTGAGGGAGCACAGCTATGTGCCTCCCGTGTGTGCCCACACTCTGCCCAGCCCTTTATGTGAATGACTCCAAGGCTCTTCACTCCCTTTAAGGCAGCTACTACTATCCCTCTTGTATAGATAAGGAAGTCGAGGCATCAAAGGGATAAATCGTTTGTCCGCAGTTACACAGTAAGCATTGGTACAGGAATCTGAATTCAGGTAGTCCGTCTCCAGAGCCAGGAGAAGGGAAGCCACAGTTGCTGGCTAAAGTCAGAGTAGGACGGGATAATGGCTCAAAGACCTGCCAGCCTGGTAATTCCACCACTCTTTTCTGTGTTACAAAAAACAATAATAGGTGGCATTGATTACATGCTCATTATGTGCCAGGCAGTGACTCTAAGCCTCATTTAAATCCTCAAGAGGACCCTATCCGGTACAAGTAGGTACTATCCCCATTTAACAGATGAGGAAACTGAGGCACAGAATTGATTGGCTCTAGGTCCCATATCCTGACACTCATTCCTGAGTCTCCAAGCCTCACCTCTTTCCTCCCTGGCATTAAGAGCTCAGGAAGAAAAGGGGTAGAAGGCACCTAAGGTTCTTCTCACCCCTGTCCTTGGAGCGGGCCTTCTGCCACTCTGCCAAACCTCAGGCCCCTCCCTGCTTCCCACCCTCCCAGCTGTGTGCACATGTCCAGTTTCCCGGGCCCTACCCTGGCAAAGCAGACCAGTGGCAATTGGCCCGTTTGGCACCCCCAGTGAGCCAGTGGGTCAGGCGGTAAAGTGGGGGCATCTGGTGGCAAGCTGTGTGCGGAGGTCTTAGCGCTCAGGTTGCAAACAATTAATTATCAAAAGCCCTCTGACCAGGGTTGCTGCGTGTTCTGCGAAAGACATCAGGTTCTGGGCTCTGGGTTCTCCCCAGGGAACCCAGCCGCCCACGTGTCCATCTGCCAAGCCAGCCCCATCAGAATCAACTCTTAAAATGTGAAATGCAAGGCAGAGTTCGTTTTCCTGCCCGGAGCAGGCCAAACAACACACTCTCACCCATTGAGAGCCCCGGGGGCTGGGGGGAGAAACCACCCAGAAATCTCACGGTGGTGGCCACCTGGCCTCAGCCAGGAATCACGCCTCCAGGACTGAAAGCCTGGCTCTGCCCCCGCCCCCTGTGCCCCCTCACCACCACCCCCGAGTCCAGGGACCCGCCTCGGCAAGGGACAGGAGCGCCCCCCTGCAGGCGACTGTGTTGCTCCCCTCTCTGCAAGTGAGCGGAAGGACCTGTCTCCACCCTCCGTTGTTGAGGATTTCAAAGGAACTGGAAATATTTTTAGGACTTAATTTTCAAGGAAAATGGCCCAGACCCACAGGATTAGGAAAATGGGGTGGAGGGTGCAGGCAATGTGGCCCACATCCCTGGGATGGTATAGCTCGTGTGGGCTCCTCAAGCAGCAGGAAAGCACTGCCCCTCAGGGCAGCACCTGACAGGCTGGCTAAGGGAGAGCCAACTGTTCGGACGGAGGCTTTGCTCCCTTGTCCCTCCTCTATCTGTTTCCTAGAGCTGCCATAACAAAGTACTGCAGGCTGGGGGGCTTGGAACCAAAGAATGGATTCTCTCACAGCTCTGGAAGTCAGAAGCCCAGACTGAAGGTGTCAGCAGGGCCATGCTCCCTCTGAAACCGGCAAGGGAGGATTCTTCCTCGCCCCTTCCTAGCTTCTGATGGCTGCTGGCAGTTTCTGGCCTCTTCCTGGCCTCTGATGGCTGCTGGCAGTTTCTGGCCTCTTCCTGGCCTCTGATGGCTGCTGGCAGTTTCTGGCATTGCTTGGCCTGCAGCTGCATCACTCCAATGTCTACCTTCAGCTGCACATGGCCTTCTCCCTGTGTCTGTCTCCACATGGCCGTCTTCTTATAAGGACACCAGTCATATAGGATTAGGGGCCCACCCCGCTCCGGTGAATGTGGTCTTCAGTTAACTAATGACAGCTGCAGTGACTCTGTTTCCCAATTAGGTCACATTCTCAAGTAC